GTATAAGCCGAGGCGGCTTTTTTCAGCCCAAAAAGTGGGCTGAAAGGGTCGGCCTATACTCGAGTATATACGGTACTCAAACTAGGTAACATCACTGAGGTCATGAAACCTCAGTGAAACAAGCAAACTCAGAGAATACTAAGGACTCCTCATTTCAACTGTGAGCTACAAATATTTTCATTTATTGGTAAACCTTAAAACCTACTTAGGCTCAATTGATTTTCTGGTAGGGATTGTAGACTGTTAGCACCTATAGAAATTGTAAATATAGTAATACTTTTTTTTCTATTCATCTCCATCCCAGTTCTACAGGGCTTATATCCAATTTCAAAATCTGCCTGGATATATAGCTATTCAGAGGCTAATAATTGTCTCCTAATATGTAAAGAAACTGGTCATAATTTTTCATATTTTTGGGAATAGTAAAATATTGTTTGAAATACATTGCTTCACCTTTGGTTGTTTTTTTTTGAAGTTGTCTGAAGTTCAACATCTTATTTTGATTTCTACAATGTCAGCAGCCATTTTAAATCTATCATTTTATGCTTCAGTAAGAAAGTGTTCCTAGATTTGTTTAACCAGCCAGCCAGCCAACCGTATTTTAATTTTGTATCTCAACTTAAAACATGACTCTAGGCAGCTTACAATGATCAGTAAAAAACAAACTCAATCCAAATTAAAAGACAAATAATCACCAATAGGTGATTTTATGCAGCAACTTGCATTTCATTCTATTTTCCCAAACCTGGGAAGTACTTTTAACCAAAGTCATGGAGCAAACTTTTTGGCCGAGAATGGGATTTGAACCAGGGACTTCCCAGCCCCAATTGACTAACTAGTACTACAACATGGCAAGAAACACTCCAGGACATTTTGAGGAGCCTGGTCCATTTTGTTATACTTAAGTTTTTAGAGGAGAAAAAGTAGTTAATTCTATTTTCAGCTGAAGTTGTAAACTGATAGAACAGTATTTATCTTCTACGTTTTAGGTTTTAGTTCATGACCTATTAAGAACTTGGCTGCACAATTGGAGGTAAGCAGCAGTTGAGCAAGCAAAACCATCCCTCCCAAGCTGTGGAAAATTTTTATCTTACACGAAACCAATCCCTGGTGTGAAAAAGGTTGGATATCACTGACCTACAATACACTTGTTACTTATTTTGAAAATGTACACGAGTCTGAACTGTAGCTAACAAAGCAGAAAAGAGTTAACGTGTATAAAAATATGGTAAAATATGTATTTGCACAAAAATTAAAATATGTAACATAATACAAAGAGGGACTTGCTAGCATCTTGGCCCTAAATCCTGAAAGCAGCAGTGTGGTTTTCAGGTCTTCTGGGAAACAAGAAAATTCGGACCACCTGAAATTCAGCAGGAACCTTTTCCACAAGGAAGACTTCTAAAAAAGCTGCATTTCCTCCCACAAGGAAATACTGTTTCATAGAAGAGATCTGGAAGATGTGCGCTGCCAGATCTGGTAAAATAGGCAGAAACCACTGGTGACAAGATAGTCCCTCAGTTGTTTTGGCCTTGCACTGTGCAGGGTTTAAAGATGACAACCAGCACTGCATTCAGAAATTTCTTGGAAGCAAGTGGCAGAATGCCTGCATTGCTACTTTCTAGACTACCTGTTTTTTAAAATGTTTTTCAAGTGCATACCCAGTGAATGCATTATAATCATCCAACTAGGAATCAACTAGGGCGTGAAATAATGTCTTGATCTGGAAATAGGACCAACTGCTGCACAAAGTGGATTTGTGCAAAGATCCACATGTTCATGTTGCCACCTGCTCCTTGAGCCAGAGCCAAAGCCAAGCAAATTGTGAAATTATGTAGTGTACACTTGTAAAATAGCTTACCCCAAACTTACACTTTTCAAAAACTAAAGTAACTCCCCAAATGTTTTCTACTGTCCCAAAGGGTCTTTTTTAAAGAGCAAACACATCCCTTCACAAAAAGGTGCTTTCTTTACAGAAAACAAATTTTGATATCATGTCCAAGGGGATCATATCGTACCTTCATGAATGCAGACTGCTTCATAGAGTAGTTTCCTAGTAAATCAAATTTACGAATAATTTGTTCATATTAGTAAATACTGTCAGAATAATATTAAGTTTGAATAGAATGCATGCACTAAGCTCCCAAAAATCCATCCAAAGCATCCCAAAACCTTTCTTAGCCCAAATACAAAGGGGAGAGGAATAGAAGGGAAAGGCACAAAATACAACAAATAAATTAAGGAGAAATGATCCTCAGGCGTGCCTAAAATTTATTAAGGCCGAGTGCATTTTGGGAAACAAATCTTTTTTCAATCAAAATAAATTCTATTACTTTGCTGAAAGCTATTAAAATCTATGGATAACATGTTTCCCAAGAACTAGAAATGCTGAAGATAGTACATGCAAACCGACTGCCAACTTAATGGAATTCATGACAAAATGCACAAAAATGTCCACTTTCATTTTACTCCTGTTAAAGTCACTTGTACCCAACCCCACCCCCCAAAGCAATTCTTCTCTGCAACTAATTTCATCTATATTAAACTGCAGTCACAGTTCTGCAAAATTCTGGTAATGAAGTTAGGAGTTTAAGCACTATTAGTGGACATAAGAAAGTCATTATCAGCTTTAGTGTAGTAACTTGCAACACAGGAATTCAAACTGCAAAAATAATGAACAGGCATATTTCCATATTTTCTATTAAAATGACAATTTGTGTAGGGTTTTCTCCCCTATATCATAGGATGTGGAGAGCATACATTTTGAACCTTCTCAGAAATCAGATTACTTTAAACATTGAAGCTAACTGTTTCATTAAAGGGATTTTAGACCAATGTGGTGAGAATCCCAGAGTAAGAGTAAAATGATTTTATTTTATTGCAAACAAACGGCTAAAGTTAATTTCTCCACCCACTTTCTTTAAAGTAAATCAGCAGGCTAAGGAGACACACCCATCTGAAAACTAACATGATTAAAAATTAGATATAAAATGGGTGAATCACAATTTCATTTGTTTACAAAATGGTGGAGTATACTACTACAAGCACACTAAATACACAGTATTTGTGGGGAAAGGGTTACAGACACACAGCTAACTTCATATAGATCCCATTAGACAACTGGATTTACAACAAGTTTGTTTAATAAGAAATGGGCAGAGCCAGCTTTTTCAGAATCAAAATGCAGAACAATGGAAAAAGTTGATGGTGTGTACCTTCACAAGTTGAGCCTCTACAGACAAATGCAACCAGGTTAGATGTGCACTCCACCATCACTATTTAGCTTTAAGGTTTTGCCTCTTCAAAAACATTGCCAATTTTTTTTAAAAAAAAACCTTTATTGCCAAAAGACATTTACTTTTTCTTCCTTCTTCCATACCTAAAAACTATGTAGAGAGGATGGAGTGGAAGATGGAGTGTAATGAATGTTATTTACATTGTATTTTGGGGGGGAGGGGAGGGCACAAAAAGCCTGGTTGCTAAATATTGTTTTGATGACTCACGACTGTTTCCTAGAAATTGAGGGGAGGGAGAGAAAAAAAATCTTTAATCAGAGGACACCAGATACAAAGCAACATTTTACTTTTGTTGTGGTAAAAAAAAAAAAAATCACATTTTACAGATAAAATGTAAGAACCCTGAAATACTGACACATTCGCTCATCGTGCACAATGCTGAGGTTCTTTTAAGATTCACTTTAAAACTGCAATTAAAAATGTACAAAAAAAAAAAACCAAAACCCACAAAGCTTCTAAAAAAGGAACCTGCAGGCACTTCCTCTTGTGGAATGTTTAAAAAGTTAGCCTACTAAAGAAAACAGTCGATTTCTTGTGAAGGTTTTGAAGAAATATGGATCAGTTCATTTTTATTTGGGAA